TTTTTTATAGAGAGGAAGGGAGAGGAATAGAGAGTTAGAAACATCGATGAGAGAGAAACATCGATCAGCTGCCTCCTGCACACTCCCCACTGGGGTTGTGCCCGCAACCAAGGTACATGCCCTTGACCGGAATCGAACCTGGGATCCTTCAGTCCGCAGGCGGACACTCTATCCACTGAGCCAAACCGGTTAGGGCTCAGGTTTCTTTAAAGACAAGAATAGGCAGGAGGCCCAGGCTATGCTATGAGGGCACCACTTCCTGTAGAAGCCAAGGGAGATGCCATCCTTACATTCAGGGCAGACCTTTCAGCTCCCTCCACCAGAGCCTTCAGGCACCAAGTGGGCAGCTGTGTGCCTGAGGGCGTGGATCAAAGGCCTCTGTGAGAGATTGGGTTAGTTTTCAATAACTCCTATTAATGGGCTACTGCCACAGAAGCAGGGAGAATGACAATTTCAGGGAAGTGTTTCTTCAAGTTTACCATTATACTACAGCAGGCCTTAGTTTCATAGCCAACTGAGGGAACAGGTCATCTTTGACACTGGGAGGCTAGAAGGAGGAAGCTTGAAAAGAAGACAGGGAGGGGTAAGGAGATGCAATTATAAATTTTCAACCTATCCCCAAGAAATTTAAAAATTGGTCCATGGGAATGAGAGCAGACAGGAGGAACAAATAGGTGGAGCACATGTGAAACTATTCTGAATGACACTATAATGGTGGGTACATGTCATTATACATTTGTCCAAACCCACAGAATGTACAACACCAAGAGTGAACCCTAATGTAAGTTATGAACTTTGGGTGACTATGACGGGTCAGTGTAGGTTCATCAATTGGAACAAATGTATTACTCTGTGGGGGTGTTGATAGTGAAGGAAGCTATGCATGTTGTGGGGAGGAGTATATAGGAAATCTCTTGCCTTACTCTCAATTTTGCTGTGAACCTAAAACTCTAAAAAACAGTCTTAATGAAAATTAGTACACTCTACTAGATTTAACGGAAGATAAAGAGATTGAACTGGTTGGATACAATCAAAGTACAATGTGTTAAAGAGAGATTGGAACTTTATTGAGACTTTCTACCTGATGAAATCAGAACGGAAAGAACACTGGAAAGGTTCCACTTTGGAGAGAAACAGCTACTGTTCAGGCACAAATACTCACAAATACTCCTCTTGAGGGATCTCTGGATCCTAAATGCCCCCCAGCCTTTAAACCCCCCCCCCCCCCCTTTTTTTCATAAAAGTCAGAATTCTGCTTAAAATCCACCTCCACAGAGTGAGGCACAAAATAGCTCTTAAAGTCCAAGCTGACTGATAGACAAGCCTGCGGGCAGTTAGAGAAAAGGTAAGTCAAGGAGTGAGCATAGGATTAGGAATAAGAAAAGAAAAATGGATGGAGAGAAGAAAGGGGGGGATCACACTGACAATGTCACCACCCTGAAAATATAAATATTGTATGAATGTATTAGCCTCATTCCACCTTCTTCCCCCAAAGCAATGGTGGTAGTAGCTATGACAATGCCCATACAATTCTGCATATTTTGTTTCCCCTACTGCACTGAGAAACACAGATATGCCATGAGGAGCTCCAGTGCATTAGGGGCATTAAGGAGCAAGGTGGGAGGGCAGACTCTCGAGAGGGTAAATGACAGAGAGATGAGGCAAGGGTTGGTTCTTGGTGAGAAGAAAAGCAGGTCATCAGGCCCTGTCACCAGGCTCCTTGGACACCCCTAGGCGGTCCTTTTTCTTCTCTGGTTGGCTCTGTCCTTAGAAACAATGTCCTGAAGGCTGTGGGGCCTCTGGCTTTCTTGAGGGAGGTTCCAGGTCCTCCACAAAGCCAAAGGAAGCAGCCTCTGTTGCAGCCGCACCAGAGTGCTACTAACTCTGAGAAACAGGAATTCCGAAGTTGCAGTTCTCCTCATGGACCTAATGTGATTGCCAATTTACTTCCACTGCCTATCCTCAGTGCCGCTCTGCTCCCTCCGCCTTCATCTTCACTTTCCTTCTGCTCCAGGATGACTTCCTGGTGCTGGCAGGTCCTGACCCATGCCTCCTGGCAAAGCTCCCAAGAGAGGCTGGCTCACTCGGCAGGAGCCCCTCAGGGCAGCCCTGGGCCCAGTCTCCAGGATTTGCACAGACTGTTCCCTTACCCACCTTTTGTCAAATGGCTCCTTCCCTCCAGGGTCCTTCCCCCATCCTCAGTCCCTCGCTGCCCTTCTGGGTGGCACACCAGCCAGGCAGAACTCTCACAAGTTCTTTCGCTATGCCCTCTGGCATCTGTTATCTCCCTAATCTCTCTTGGACAACGTAATACACACATATCCACACTTATTGGTATCTGAAGGCCCAGGCTTTCCTGCGGTACGTCCAGTGGGAATCAGCATCAAGTTCAGGTGGAAAACTGAAGGTTGAGCCTTAGTTGCCACTGACATTGATGACTGGTGCTGGTTCTGACTCCTGTGAGTTTTGAGTGTTAGCACATCAGGGAATGAGAAGAAGGGAAAGGGAAAGCCATGGTGATGAAAATCAGGAAGGAACGACCCTTCTGCAGAGCGTCTCCACAGAGAAGTTGTGGAAACAGCCTCCTCTTAAATTTGGAAGAGGCGGGCTGCCCAGCGAAGTCCCCAACGAAAAGGAGCTAGGTCTCCATTGTCCCCTCTGAAACCCAAAGACTTTGGGGTCCAAGTTTTCCAAGACATGCAATAAACAAAGACACACTGCAAACCAATTAACCCTCTGAGCTGTACTTTCACTGAAGTCACTTCCAGTGAATTACCTGAATGCATAGAACACTGGCCCTTCTCTTGGGGCCGATAAAGGGACTCAGCTTCCCAGCTGGCTTAGAACACCACGTCAGAGAAATGGCATGGGGGAGGCAGATGCTTCTCTTAGCCTGGGAACTCTTGTTCTCTCTTAGTGTTCGGGTACCCTAAACCATCCCTCCCAACCCTGGAGGAAACAGGGAAGAGAGCCTGGGGTTGGGCTAAAAACCCAGGTTAATTCAGGCCCAAGAGAGTATCCCCTAGTGAAGTCAACCAAAGTTTAAGAG